CCTTAGCAAAGCGCATCCCAGGCTGCATAGCCGCACTACCCTACCCAACCATACCACACATAAACATGACACTACCCCCGGGGTTTACACAGACGAGCCGGCGAAGCAAGAAGAGCGCCAGAAGAAAGGGCCCTAGCCGGCGGGGCCCAGCCAGGACAAAAGGAGGTCCCACAAAGCGCCTACACCGGCCGCATTTGCGGTCGGGGTAGACGACGGATGGGGCCCACCTACGAAGGCTGTCCAGGCCTACACGAGATGAGGCAGGATAAAGAGGGATAATCCCCCTCGATCCCAAATCATTGAGGCCAATTTCTAGCCATAGAATAATGGCGCGCGAGTTCTGGGGGTCCAATTTGTAGTGCAGATACTTATAAAAATAAAGTGTGCTATCGAAAATATGTTTGTAATCTTGCTAACAAAAAAATTAACAGAAAGCATTTTTACAAACAGATTTCGAAGATACCTATATGTCGTTGAAGTACATATAATAGTTGTAAGGGAATTAAAATCAATAGGTGTCGATTAGGTTATTTAAATTTTTTTATCCTGTTTATACCCATTTAAACTGTAATTTGATACCAACTTTATATTACTACATAATGCTGTAAATTAAAGAAAAATGAAAATTTTGTGACAAATAAGAAAATACTTGTTTGTTGGGAGAAACATCCCAAAATATATTCAACGTCTAAAAATAATTTAAAAAAACTAAAATGTTATCGGAATTTTATTTGTTTTGCAGTTAAAAGTTGTTTTTAAATTATTTATTATATTAATAAAATATAAGAAAAATATTGTATACCTACCCGTTATCTCTCTCTAACTCATTGCATTTCCCATAAGAAAATAAGAGGCAAATTTAAAATTGTCACTTTTCTTGTACCACGCTCCTTTTAACAAAAAATAATAAATTTAATCAGTTATGATTATGGTTAATTAGCAGGTATTTTGAGTCTAAAATGTTGCCATTATATACGAACTCGCCATTATTCTATGGCTAGAAATTGGCCTCAATGATTTGGGATCGAAGGGGATTATCCCTCTTTTCCTGCCTCATCTCGTGTAGGCCTGGACAGCCTTCGTAGGTGGGCCCCATCCGTCGTCTACCCCGACCGCAAATGCGGCCGGTGTA